CTGCGGGCGCTCGGGGCTGTCTGCCCACGGACCAAGCCGGCACAGAGCGCAAGGGCGACCTGCGCGTCTCAGCAGAGTGCGCCGCCCCTTTGGCTTCCACCTCTGGGCGCCGGCCCGGGCCACCCAGAGATAAAGGTTCGGCCTCAAAGCCCAGCCACCCGCTACAACGGTCCCCGCCCCCGGGGACACTCCGCCCACGGCCGATCTGGTGTTCACTGTTCCGGCGCCGGAAGTTCGGGTGGGGCTCGCCGGGAAACTAAGCAACGCATGCGCCATTGTAAGCTTTTGCGAGTCTATCCCGTAGACCTGCAAGGCTACACTGACGGGTAGCCAATGAACGGGGAGAATTCTCAGTTCTGGCCAATCAGAAGGCAGCGACACTATTACCTTCATTACCCGGGCACCTGGAAGGAAGGGATCAGGGTGTAGTTTCAGTGTCCTTGGTCTCCGCTTTTCTCTAGCATTTCGTTGTTCTTGCGATCCCTGAACCGCAAAAAGAGGAAGCTAGGGCTGACCTAACGAGCGAAGACCACGTCTGTCCCAACCACTAGTGGAGCGCCTGCTCCGCCGGAAGGGATGCGCGGGGATGGACTATTCCTTCCGCTGGGCTCTTTCCTCTAGCGGGTGGGCGTAGTCAGGGGTCTACTGCCCACGAGCCAGGGCTCCGGCGTAGTGAGGAGTGCGGAGCTTCCTCAGGTGGTTCCCCTCCTTAGGTGGTCAGCGCTGACCCGGGTGGAGACCTGTGCTGTCTCACCAGCGTTAGAGCTGAGTGGCGGGAGTCCCAGGGCCCCGAAAGACCCTATCTGGGAATCTTGCGATTGCCTTTTCCTTATACTCGGCCCTCGCTCCCACTCTCTCTACGCCTTGATCCGAAAATCTCAGGTTCCAGATCTTCCAGAAATGGAAAGAGGTTTCTTGTTTTGTTTTGGTCAGCCTCTACTGCATGCTTAGTGTTGAAACATTAAGAAAGGAAAATTATAAAGCTATCTCTTGGTATTTACGGGCTAAGCTCCCTCACCCTGCTTAGTTTTCACCCTTCTCTCCAACATTTATATATACTGACATGTACTTGTGTACTATTTTTCCCTTAACTATAAGTAGCTACATATAGACACTTCACTGCACTGCTCCCGGAACACACAGTTGTACTTGGCACATGGTAGGTGATCAGTAAGTACTTATTAAACTCACGAATGTAAAAAGCATTTTTAATATAAACAGTATGCATGTCCTTAACATGTCCTTAAACATTTATAAATATATTTCTGATACAAATCAGGAATCACCCTATAAGCAATGTTCTATTGACTTAATTGTATTCATGGTATCTTTCCATCTCAGCATTCATAAGTAAAATAAAATCCATCAGTTTTACAAGCTGCATAGTATAAGACTTAAAGTCTCACTTTTACTCCTGGAGCGTGAACAGCCAAGAGGCCTCCACAATGCTGGGCCCAAAAGCTCAGCGAGGCTCCAGGAGCTTGTCGGACAGTGAGAGTCACCCAGGAAGGAACACACCAGGCAAGTTGGCAAATAGACCTTTATTAGTCTGGCCAGACGGCACTCCCCAAGCCAAGTAGCTCAGAGAGGCAGCTAGCTCAGAAACAGAGGCCATTTTATATAGGGCTATGGAGGGGGGTTTACACTCAAAACTTACAGGAAGGGGACAAAGGCAAAGAATCAGTGGATCTGAGCTGGTGGTCATCAAGCATATACTCGACCGTTACGTACTAATGATCAGCAGATCAATTATCCATTGTTCCGTTTACAACTTAGATTATAATGTTCAGAACATTCAACTACAGGCAAGTAAGGAGTGGCGTGATTGACATTGGGTCTCTACGTTCACTACAGTTTCCATTTAGTTTCCCAGCTACTTCTAAGCAGTTACCTAACGATTCACAATTAATCATTAGTTATCCTATAAGGGATGGGGGGAGCGACAGTCTCTAGGTCTAGAGTCACTCTAGTTCAGTTAGCCTCTTACATTGTTATTTCTTGGTTTTTCTATTTACACCACACACACACACACACACACACACACACACAACCCTTGCTCTGGCCTCCTGTATACTAGGCAAGCACTCCACAGAGATATAGCTCTAGCCCTCTAAAGGGATATTTTTATATATTAAGGATATAATATGAAAAGCCAGGTGTGGTGCACCTGTAATCCCAGTACTCAGAAGACCTAAAACAGCAGGATTGAAAGTCTGAACCTAGCTTGGGTAACTTAGTGATTTAGTGAGTCCCTGTCTCAAAAAAAAAAAAAGGACTGAGTATGGAGCTTAGGGTGAAGACCTAGCTTCAAACTCCAATAATGGGGAGATAAAAAAAGGTATGTTAGCATAGCCTCACATTTACTAAGCACTTAATATGTATTTGTCAACTAGAATGATTTGTCCTTTATGTACAAATAATTTTTCATAGTTTATACCCTTTGATATCAATCATGTATTTGGATATTGGTTTTTATTCCCATACAGAAGTTTTTTTAAGGGGAGCGGTACCGAGGATCAAACTTAGGATCTTGCTTGCTAGGCAGGCACTGTGCCACTGAGCTACATCGCTGCAATACAGAAGCTTTTCTTTTTCTTTTCTTTTTTGGTACCGGGGATGGAATTTGAGTCCTTGTGCTTTGGAGGCAGGCGGCAGAACTACTGAGCTAAATCCCCAGCCCCACAAGTTTTTAATATTAAAACTCTCGTTCTTTTCTTGCATTCCTTCTACCATAAAAATCAAGGTAAGAAAGGTTTTTGTACTCAACATTCTATTCATTTGTACATTTAGAACCCCTAGGCTTCAATTTGTTTTGTTGAGACAGGCAATCACTATTTAGCCCAGGCTGGCCTTCAACTAGTGGCAATCCTGCAGTCTCAGCCTCTGAGTGCTGGTATTACAGGCATGCTCAATACCCACCCTTCCTCTTTTTTTGTTGTTGTTTTTGTTTGTTTGTTTGTTTTGTTTTGTTTACTCTGGGCAGGGCCTGCTTCTGTTGTTACAACTGGCTATTCAGACTGGCCTTGAACTCACTAAGTAGCCCAGGCTGGCCTGAAACTCACAGGATCCTCCTGCCTCAGCCTCCCGAGTACTGGGATTACAGGCGTTCATCACCACATCCAGCTCAGTTTTAAAATACAAATGTTATTCCATCTGGACTTTATTTTGCAAAGGGAAAGAAATATAAAATTAATTTGTTCACCAAGTAGAAGCCAGATTAGGCATCTTCATAACTATCATTCCATTGTTTCTTGATTTTTCTTTTATATTTTATATTTAAATTTCATTACAGATGAATGTTTCAAAATTTTCAGTTATGTTATTTTGATTTTTAAATGCCTTTAGTTTATAATAGATTTTAAATTTCAGTTTGTTTTATTTTGTTTTGTTCTTTGGTACTGGGGATTGAACTCAGGACCTTGCACTTGCGAGGCAGCGGCAGAATCACTGAGCTAAATTCCCGGCCCTATATTTCAGTTTTGAGGGGGGCTCTAGGGACCAAATGCAGGTCCTTGAGTGTGCTAGGCAAGCACTGTACCACTGAGTTATATCCCCAACTCCTTTGTAATAA